CAACTTCAAATTTTAGGGGGTGTTTCCATTAAAAATGGGTCACACTGTATGAACCCGAGATATTTGATTTCTTCAACAATTCAATTTTTTTTTATTGAATATAGAGATATTCATGTTTGAATTGATCTGTTTATATATGTATATACTTTCATGAACATTCCATGAGTTTGTTTGATATTGGGTATCTTCTTGGAAAACTAGAAAGTAGCACAGGTGATTCTTGTATACAATAAAGGATAAAAAAATTATATAAATAACTGTAGACCTTACCCTCACTACTGAAGATTTTTGAATGGGTTACCTGCAAGCGACTCGTATCTTTTATTACTGAGAATACTATTGTTACACCACAATCATGTGGTTTGACATAGGTAATGTCAGCAGATCTTGTGGTTGTCGATATGATAAGAGAAAATACGAAGAAATTGATGTGTTACTGTTGTTTTCCATATTAGTTCAAATAAGGCATCAATGACGTCATAGCATTTCGTAAACAATTGCATCATTAGCACTCTCCTTAGCATAGAAGTGACTATTTTTGTAACGCATATACTTGTTATTTTTCAATCTTTCACATATACATGTTGATATATTAAAACATTTCAATATTTTTTTTGTTTTCAGTGGAATGTTCTTTGAAAAACATCTGAAATTCATAAAACTCAATGAAGAATTTGTGCCTTTCACAAAGATGAACCTTAGTTATTTGCTGAAGGTTTGTGAATAGTTGAACCATATTTTTTTCAGCTCTAACATTATGTTTTCTTCAGGAGAACTATGACAACGGTTTTGTAAGAAAAGTGTACCAAAGTCCAATCATAAACTACCAAGATCTCAAAGACGGGAAGGTGAGACATAATGTTCCCACTAGAATTATTTATAAAACAAAGGAAGAATATAAGCTAATTACAAAAAAGTTGGGACTGATGGATGATTTTAAGGTAAATGGAATTTTAACTTTTTCCACTAAATGGGGAATGTTCCTCCTGACGAAAATCAGGTAGGAGCTCTAAAACAGTGCATTTTAAACTTATCATTTCAACCTTTTTCTTAAAAAAATCATTCAAATACTTAAAAAAGAGGAATGAAATGATGCATTCAACATTTAAAGGGATTCGTTTCTATTTCACCATTTGGCAACATCAATTATAGCTAATAAAGGACAATGAATTTGTTACCTGTATGAGACAAACAAAGATGACATTTCAGAGGCGTGCTGTTCTGTTTACTTATGTTCCGAGTCATTTTGTGACATATGACTATTTGTGCACCTATCCTATCCCCCTCTATATAAACAAATAACAAAACAACTGTTGTTTATGTGGCTTGTGGAGGTGGTATTGAANTAACGCCGACCACCGCTGGCCGTCGTAAATCAATTGTGACGTGGCCAACGTTCAGTGGTTGTTCTAAGTTTTCGCGCCGTTTCGATACACACCACCCGAATTTGATATCACATTTGAGTTACTTCGATTACCATACATAAACCCTACCCACTCGCATGAGAGGTCAAATCAAGTTTCGCGGACAGTACAAAGCGATCTAATAAGGCAATAGACATTTGAATAATAGTTGAAGTCTTGGTTAAAGTTTTTGGTTGTATTAACAGTAAAATAAAGATAATTTTGATTATTGTACAGTGTAGTCCATTACTGTTTAACCCACGGGGAAAACGTAACAATACGTAGAGCATACACAGAAGTATCTTCCAGTTTGTATCTGAAAGAAACTCCTGTCTGTGATCTATATATTTTTATGAAGAATTTTTATTGCATTTATTTATTTTTCTTCCTTACTTTGGAAGTTTCCTCTAGTTTTTTTTATGATAGAGAAGTAGAAAACTAAAAAGTTTATTCCACAAAAAACTGGTAACAGTTTAATGAGTATAATGAAGGTTTTACATCGATGAAAATTTATTTCTCTATTATTAACTTTTCAGAGTGGTGTACCAAGGACTGCCTATAAAGGAATTGTAACTTTTTACTTTAAAGGAAAAATGGTACATCTAACACCTGATGCAATATGGACAGGCTACAACATTTCATGGAGTTAATTAATAATTACAACTGATTGTGGATGGTGCCTCTACCTACGGTACTTATGTCCAATGTGGCTGCCAGCAATAAAAAATGTTTCTGTCTATTTTGGGAGTTCTAACTTAGCGTACCTTACTCACCCACTTATGAATTTAGTGTTCTTGAATTGAAAGAGTTGATAGTAAGACAACTAGTTTGAAAGTGCTGGCATGCCCCAGAAGTCCAGGTTAACAAAGTACCAGCAGTGGGTGCAGAAGCAAATTGTTCTCTCTTTTGTATATCTCTTCCTCTTCTTAGTTAATTAATTTATTATTCACTTGTGATATTTTTGACTCCAAAACGGATTTTTTGAAAATTCAATTGTTATACTATAAGTACTAAATTGTTGAATACTTTTGTATATAAAAGTAAAATTCACATGTCTTGTAAATAATGGTGATAAATAAATGAGCAAATTATGGTTGTGACTTCATGGACATTTTTTCTCTAATCCTTCAGTAGAGCATCTAACAACTTTATTTCCAAAGAGGCTTGCAAATTTATAGAAGGGAAATGAATTGATAAAAAAAAAAAATTGGGTTACAATAATAAGTAATCAATTAGATATGGGCAAAGAAATATAAACGTTTTTGTGGAGGAACAAAAATAAATTTGCCAAGTAACCTGCTATAACAAATATTTTTCAAGTTGACTTTGAATCTGAGGTTTCCACATTTCAGCATGATAAATTGATTTGAATTGAAGTGTTTATAATTTATTCGAACATCTAATTGAATGGCCATGCTCGTCGCTAGCTGAGACTAGAATGCTTCATTTTATTTCTAACCTAGTGAATAAATGTAAAAAGTTTTAGTATATACTATGAAGATATGCTTATAAGTTTGTTTGTTTTGTATACAATTTTTGTTGGTCCTTTAAAATTAATTCATTTTGTAAAAAGTATTTTCA